TTAGCACAATGCCTGCCATATAACATCCACTTAAAAGGTTTATTGACTATTGGACTATATAATAAACCTAGAAAGACAGGACAGAGTCAGGTTACAAAATACTTTAAATGCTCAACAGTCGAATGTATACTTGCCCAAACATGTGACAGGCAGACACTAGGATTTGATGACTAAGGCTATGTACGACGCAGTGAGTTCTGTCTTTTGGGAAAATAACTTTGGCAGTTGAGTAGAAGATGGATTGAAGATGGAGAAGGGACTTGAGAAGGTGAGATCAATTAAGAGAGGACTGTAATTATATGGGTGAGAGGTAATGAGAACATGACCTGGGCTGATACATGTGTAGCTGAACAGAATATTATGGAAATACAACAGCTTAGATTTGTGGACTGAGTGACAGATGAGTTGTGGATGACAGAAAGGTTGAAAATCTGGGTGCCTGGGTGTAAGTAGTACCCTCCATAGTCACAGGGAAGTTGGGAATTGGGTTGATTTGGTGGCAGGTGAAAATAATAAGTTCTCATTGGCACATGTTAAGTTTGGGAATCTACAGGACATCCAATTGAAAATGTCTAATGAAAGGCTAGCTACACGAGAGCTCAGGAAAGAGACTAGAGTTAGCAGAGTTTTGGGCAGCTAAATCATGCAGGTGGCCAAATAGCTGAACTTGGATTAGGGAAGACCTGAGTAACCCAGAGTCTTATTAGTTGTGTGACCTTGAGAAAGTCACTCTGTCTGACTCAATTTTTCTATATGTAAAATGGAGGTAATGATAGCCCTTACTTCCCAGGGTTAGTGTGAGGATCAGATGAGATAATGCACACAGCTCTTTGCAAGCCTTAAAACACTTTGTAAATGCTAGTTGTTATTAACAGGAACAATAGGGTTAATAGAAAATGGCTCTTTTTCTGGGCCTCAGTTTACCTATCATTAAAATAAGTGACTTAAACTAGATGATCTCCAAGCTTCTTCCTAGTAGTAATATTTTGTGATTCCATTATTACTCTGTAACAAGTCTGGATTGCTCCATTTCTTCGAACTTTCAAGTTCACCACTTTTTTTTTTAACCTCTAAACGTGACTAATAGACTTTATAGAGTACTCTGGCATACACTTCTGTGCTTTACCTGAGGCTGGGGTGTGACTTGGTGAGAATGGAAATGGGGGTGGGATTGATGAAGCTAAACACTGAAAAGGTCATGAGGAGACTTTACAGAGCCAGCAACCATACATAGACAGAATGAGGTTCATCAGAGACCCCAGCATGCATCAGTGCAGTCAGAAACAAAAAAAGTGAATTAACTCCTGGGAACAGCAGAGTGCTTTGCAACCTCACCAGACATCAGGGTACCTTTCTAAAATGCTAAAATTCACAGCTGAGCTTGTCCAGAAATGCCTCCCTGCTCCAGTCAGCATGGAAGTGAATGTTTTCATTTCAAGTTCTAAGACCAGGTTCAGTCACCTTCAAAGACAAGCAGTCCTCAGATGGTCCCTCACAAAACACAGCATAAAAATAGAGCTTTTCTATAATGGGGCTACCTGAAAGCATTACTTCTGGGACCAATAAAAGTTTCACAGTTGGCAGAATAGTTCACTAAGTGAGGGCAGTGATGCTACGGGGGGAAAATGAAACCAATTCATATTTTGGGGAGAGGGAATGTTGGATAGTAGAGAGAGAAGGTTAGGAAGCACTGAATTAAAGTTCCACCTATGAAATATAAATAACTGTGTGACCCTGGACAAGTCACTTAACTTACCTCAGCCTCAGTTTCCTCATCTATAACATGGAGATAATAATAGAACTTACTTCACAGGATTGTTGTGAGGCTAATAATATATGTAAAATATTTTTCAAACTTAAAAATACATGTAAATTTTAGTTACTACTTAACCCCTCTGAGTTAAGTGTCTGAGACTATTATTTGCAGAATGTTGTTGATCTGTATTTGTAGAGGAGAATTACCCAGAGAATATTCCCCCACTCCAAAGAAGGTTGGCACCCTGAGACAAAGCCTTGATGGCTCAAACTTTGTTAAAGCTCAGTGAGATGCCACACCATTGAAGCCCCTCAGTGTATCTTTGACCCAGAAGCAATAAAAACAGTTTCAAGTGAACTATTACCCGTGTGTGGGAAATTTGTAGAAAAGTCTTTCTGCTTCCGTAATGTGATAACGAAGCTTTGCTCTGACTCTGTCACCCTAGGCCCAAACACTCTCAGATAACATCTCCAGGCAGTGGCTTTTAAAAGGCAGATTTACTGTATCTTAAACGGTGATTAAAAAAAAAACCTCCGCAGTGGGGGATTTGTTCAGAATCAAGCTTTTGGCACAAGGGCTGCTTATCAAAGAGCTGGATTTCTTTTCTCCTCGAGCCAAGAAGGAGGCCTGGATGGTCTGTCATCCCTTTGCTCTTTCTCCTCCAAAAGTTGGATACCTTGATTACTATCTTCCCTGGTCCATTGAAGACAGCCAGCACTACACAGACAATCTGTCATTGTGACTTTCCCTTTTTCTGGACATCAAACCTTCTGATCTCTGTCCGAGGGGGTTCTCATGGTTGAGCCTCTTTTACAAAAATAATCCTTGACTCTTGCATCTCACAATCTTCATCAACCCCAGAGATCTCTGAAGGCCTCTCTGCCTTGTCCCAGGGCCGTAGCTAGGAAAGCATCAAGATTTACAAGGGGCCAGCTGGGGCTGCTTAGATGGAGAAGCCTTTCAGCATCTTTGCTATATAGGATGAGGCCTGCCTGGCATTCTGAAAGTGCTGTAGTCCGACCTTCATGCTGGTGAAATACAGTATTAGAATCTTAATAGAATCACTTCAGAGGCATGAGTTGCATTAGCTATATGAGGTTTCCGTAAGAGCCACCCCACCTCCCAATCCCCCACCACTTCCCCAACTTCTGCTGGTTAATTCTCAGCTCCTTGGCCTTCATTTCCTCTTCAGGTTGTTATTATTCTCTTCCGGGGATTGCTGGCTCTCTTAGCTTTCTTTTATGTAGCCTTCCAGAGTCAGCAATGAACGTTTTCTAAAAGCTTGCTGAAGTGAGGGAGAAGTAGCCAATGGTGGGGACAAAAATAAGTGGTAGCAACACTTGTTGGAGGTGCTGTCCTTCTGGAACATCTGTTTCCAACATTAGGCTTTGGCCTGAGAGGCAGCTATGGTATAGTAGAGGGAAAACACAGGATTCAGGGAGTCAGATGGCCAGGGTGCACATCCCAGCTCCAGGACTTTCTAGTTGTAATGCTCTGTGATTCCGTTATTATCCTATGACCTGAGTCCTAGCTTTCCCCACTCCTAAACATTCCAAGCTTATCCTTTTATGTTAGCCTTTAAACATGGAGGGTAGACTTTGATATATGGGGCTTTAGCAACCACCCTTCTACTCTGCCTGAGGCTGGAGTATCCTAGCATGATGGGGGTGGGATTTCTTCCAAGAGAGAGGAGAATTAAAACCAAGGTGAAACTAAACATTGTAAAGGCCCTGAGGAGACTTTCTAGAGCCAGTAATTGTATACAAACAATATGAGGTTGATCAAAGACTCTAGCATAAATCAGTACAGATGTGAAAAAAGTGTGAATTAACCCTTGGGAGAGGCACCCATGGAGAATCAATGGATCATAGCATCCTTAATCCCAAATTAGAAGCAACCTCTGAAGCCATCATCTGGTATAGAGATTCTTAACCTTTTTTGTATCATAGACCCTTTTGGCATTGAGGTGAGGCTGATGGACCTTTTCTCAGACTAATGTTGAATGCATAAAATAAATACATATAATAGCAAAGGAAACTAAGTGTACTGAAATACAGTTACAAGATATTTTAAAAAATGATTGGTGCCAGATTAAGAATCCCTGATCTAATCTGGCCCACTTTTTTTAACCAGATGAGGAAGCAGAGGCTCAAAGAGTATGAATAAAATTGTTCAAGGATAATGGGACCATAGATCTAGAGTTAGAAGGGACCTCAAAGGCAATCTAGTCCAATGCTCTCATTTTACAGGTGCAGAAACGGAGACCTGGAAGGTCAAATCACTTGCCCAATGTCAGAAAGAAAATGTCTAAGGTGGTGGGTGGCACCTCAGCTGTACTATATAAGAAGCCAGGGATCCTTAGAGGTGGAGGTAAGAAAGCAGTGGGTTCCAAAGAGGAGAGAACACCTGTGCAAAGACACCAAGGAAGGAGACGTAATTCTGTGCAGCATGTGCTTTGGGAAAATTCACTTGGCTTATTTGTTTGTTTGTTAGCTAAGAGCTAACAGAACAGATTAACTAGAACTGTGTGCATAAAGGGTAATAATATGAAATAAATCTAGGAAGATAAGTGGGCATCTTTACATGCCATGGCAAAAATTTTGTATTTTGTCCTCGAGGCAGTAGTGAACCATTAAGGAATTTTGGGTAGAGGAGTAAAATGGACATTCCTGTGTTCTAGATTATTTTTTTTATCTGAATGATTTTTTTTTTCATTTGAATATAGATTATAGAAGGGAGATACTTGAACAGGGAAACTAATTAGGAAGTTATCACAACAGTCCAGATAAGGGGTGACTACTTGTTGTGAGGTAGTAGAAAGTGAGAGGATGTGAAGATGATGATTGGTGACTGATGCAAAATATTTTACAGAGGTGGAATTGACAAGAGTTGGCAACTATTTGAATGTGGGGGAAGGAAGGGAATAAGGAGAATGATCACACCTCCTTAGGATATGAAAAATGCACGTGCCCATTCTCAATCTTCATGAATATGAATTTTTACTGTTATTTCCTATGTTTGCCCTACTGCAAATGCTAGCTGTCAGGGAGACAATCTAACTAAGGATATAGAGAGCTTGGGCCGTGATCTCTTCATTAAGAGACTAAAGGTGCTTTGTTGATTTTATGGTTAATTCTCTTATTTGTATTTCACAAGAGGTGATTTTAACACAAACACACATGGACATGTCACTTATGCAAACCCTGATCATTCATCATGACTCTTCTTTTATCTTTCCCTCCAGTGCGGATGGTCAATCCAATGAAGTCATGCAGATCGATATAGAAATTGAAGAGCTGAGTGACCTACCAGCCACGCAGCTAGTCACATGGCAGGTTGAATACCCTGGAGAGACTACCTCGGACCTGGGGGTGTCTAAAATCTATGTGAGCCAGAAGGATTTGATTGGAGTCATCCCACTAGCCATGGTAAGGGTTTACCTGCAGAAAGGGAACTGGATTCTCAAAAACATAGGGTTCTTGGTATTGATTTCCTTGTGTTTCTGTTGTATCCCCAACATAGAATGGAAGCTCTTTGAGGATGGAGATGATTTACCAGTGTTGTTGGGGAAACACCTCAGCCTCCGTGAACCAAGGCTGTAAATATTCTGACCATCCTCTTTTTGAAAATAACTATTCCATCATGACTGTGCCCATGGCTTCCAAGCTTCCAATCTGTACTTAAGAATTATTAGTGATTTATAAAAGCATGTTTAAATCATCAAAGGAAAGGAAGGCAGAGGGACTACTTATTTTTCCCCCCCAGGGAGACTGTGTGTGGAGTTGGGAGTATATTTTCTATTCCTGAAAGAAATTTTTCTCCCAGTGGTTGGTTAGAGTACAAGATGGAGAGTTGATATAGTTGGCCTGGACTGAGCTCTTTCCCCCAGGGGGAGGAAGGAGGAGACACAGGTAGACAGCAATATCTAAAACAAGGATTCTTAACTGAGAGCCACAGACTTTAAAAAAGTTATATTTTTATATAATTGTTTTCCTTTGTAATCCTATATATTTTATTTTGTGCATTTAAAAATACTTTGAGAAGGAGGGGTCCATAGTCTTCTCTAGACTGGCAAAGAGTCTATGCCACATATGAAAAAAGTTTAAGAACCTATCATGCAGAAATCAAATGAGATAATATCTGCAAAGCACTTAGTAGAGTGCCTGGTATATAGTAGGTACTTTATAAATGTTGTTTCTTTCCCTAGAAAGACTGATATGTCTATAAGTGTACCAATAAACACACACACACACATACACACACACACACACACACACACACACACACACACACACATGATTCCATGTGGCAATATATTATTTGATCTGCTTCAAATAAGTTCATTCAAAGATTCCAGGGTTAGTGTACCCAAGACTGGTATGTTTGCAAAAGGCTCCAATTCCTATAAGGCCACATAGACCCAACCTTCCTTAGGTCACATTGATCAGCCTGTGGTTTTTGTATAGGCTTGAATTTCTGAGTTGTGGCTGCCTGTACAGCTTCCTTTCATGAGAACAGCACTGAGATCCAAGGGCGGTGGTAAGATGGAAGTGTGTGTCTGCTTATATCACTTATATGTATTGTAGTGGTGTCAAAATCAAATGGAAATGAGGCCCAGAAATCCATATGTGAGGATCCTTGAAGGCTACATATTGACTTAGTTTTAAAATGTACCTTATCTATGTATTGTTTTATTTTATTTATTTTGTTAAATATTTCCCAGTTACATTTGAATCCAGTTTGGACAGCCCTCAGGAGTGGTGTGTCTGGCACCTCTGGCATAGTGGATAAAGAGCTGGACCTCAAGGCAGAAAGTTACTGTTGTTCAGTCATTCAGTTGTATCTGACTCTACGTGACCCCCTAGACCATAGCATGCCAACACTGTCCATGGGGTTTTCTTGGCAAAGATACTGGAGTGGTTGGTTTGCCATTTCCTTCTCCAGTGGATTGAGGCACACAGTTAAGTGACTTGCCCAGGGTCACACAGCTAGTAAGGGTCTGAGGTTGGACTTGAACTCAGGTTTTCCTGACTCCAGGACCAGCACTCTATCCAGGGAACCCTCTAGCTGCCCCACAAGTCAGAAAGACTAGGGTTCAAATCTTGCCTCTGATACTTACTAGTTATCTGGTTCTGGACAAATCAGTTAACTTTTTCTATCTCAGTTTTTTCATCTCTAAATGAGAGGTTGGGCTCAGTAACCTCTAAGGTCCCTACCATCACTAAATCTATGGTCTTATGATCCTTTGGCAATAAAATATGAAGTGCTGGAGATTAGAGATTATTGCTTTTCTGTCTCTGTATCCCAATATCTAGCATAGGGCCTGGCACATAGTAGGTACTTGAAAGCTGCTTATTGAATGTGAGTGGTTAGCAATGGTTTCTATGCTGTCAACAAACTAAATAGATTAGATATGGTTATTACTGTCTATGTATTCCTTGAAATCTACAATTGGACTAGTACAGAGCCCACCTATAGATCTTTCACTCATTCTCTCCAACTTTTCTTTCATCTTAAGTCTACATTAATTAGCAACCTCTAGCACATTGTTTATTTAAATAGGTCTCTAACTTCCATGTTGTAGTGAACTCCCCTTAAGAAAACTCCTAGCCATGCAGATCAATACCTGTTTTGCACCTTAGTCATGTTAGAGAATGTCTCAAGGACACTGAGAGGTTGAGAGACTTACCTAGGGTCACATAGCTACCAGGTGTCAGAAGCAGTGCTACATGGACCCAGGCCTTTCTGACTCCAAGGGCCATTCTCTATTCAGTGCATCACAGCTTCTGTTTGTTGATTGAATGACTGAATGATTAGTAGACTGAAAGATATCCCATGTTAGCAGACTCACAGATACCCCACATAGCTCTTGCGCTCTCTCTCTCTCTCTCTCTCTCTCTCTCTCTCTCTCTCTCTCTCTCTCTCTCTCTCTCTCTCTCTCTCTCTCTCTTTCTCTCTCTCTCTCCATGTCTCTCCAGAGTCCCATGCAGAGAGAAGAAAATGACAGAAAAACAAATAAGCTATGTGAATTTCCCCAAAGAAGATGATAGGGCATGCTGGATTTTCACCTACATACAGTATCTCATGCTGTTTCCTGTCACAAAATTACCTTATTGTCAGAAGTGAATCATGAGTTGACCTATCTGGTGAATGGCTGCTATCTCCTCCCAGACCATCTATTAGAAAATATTGGCATGTGCTCTTATGAAGTGCTGAAAGAAAACCCAAAATCAATCTTCCAATAAAAAAGGACCATGGACAGTTGCCTAGTGACAGCAAGTTAGTCATTAAGCCATTCATTACAGCAGGTAAGGGTGTGGTCATATGCTTTGAAACAGCAGCAAAGTGATGAGGGCTGGCTGCTGTTAACTAGCTTACTTTCAAAGCCACCACTTTTTCCCCTGGTGCATCCTTCCCTCTACCTAGGACTAGACTGTTTCTCCTTTCAGGCTATTACTGTTTCCATTACAGGGGAAGACAAGGCCATTTATCTTGAATAGGTAATTATTTGAATTTGCTCTTCTTCAGCCCCTTTGTTCTGATGAGTTTTAGGACTGTTTCCTGGCAGTCTCTCTGCTTTGGCTGGGGGGGGGGGGTCACATCCCCACTTTGTTCTTTGCCTCCAGGTGTTCCTCTCAATCGCAGCAATCTCAGAATCTCAGAGTGAGAAGGGACTCAGAGGCCCTCAGTCCAACTGATGCCAGAATAAGAATCCTTCCTACAACCCTACACCCCACCAGCAAACAATTATCCAGCCATTGCTCAAAACCCCTGGTGAGGGCAGACCCACTACCTCCTGAGGCAGCTCAATTCCACTTTTACGTAGTTCTAATTACTAGGAAGTTTTCTTCCTGACTTTAAGTGGAAATCTGCCTCTGTGCAACTCCTACTAATTATGCCTAGTTCTACACTAGGGAGACCAAGCAGAACAAGTCTATTCCCTATTGCACTGCAATTCACCTAGTACATACATTAAGTGCATACTGTATACTACATGCTGGAAGCATACATATAGTCTTCCAAAACTAAGTCACCTTTATCAAGTCATAGCTCTCTGTACCTTGACTGGGCAGCATGTTTATCATGGGAAAAATGCTGAATTTGGAGGTGGGAGAAACACTGGTTCAAACTCCATCTCTTGGCAAGATGCTATAGTGGGAAAAAAAATAATGGGCTTGGAATCAGAAGGGAGCATTTAAATAGATTTGTAGTTTAATGCACAATCATAATTTTTTTTATTCTACTATGTTATGGAAATGTTTGTTTTGTTTCTTAAGTTCAGAATAAAACAAATAAAATTTTAAAAATAAATACCTTAATATGAAAAAAAAAATGAGGCCTACTGTGTACGAGGCACTGTGCAAAGTATTTTACAAATATTATCTCATTTGATTCTCACAACAACCTGTGAGGTAAGTACTGTTATTATTCTTATTTTGTAGTTGAGGAAACTGAGGCAAATAGAATTTAATTGACTTGCCCAGGATCACACAGATAGCAGTATCTGAGGTAGGATTTGAACTCAGGTTTTCCTGACTCCAAAACAGTGATCCATCTACTCTACCACCTAGGTGCCTAGGTAACATCCAGGAGTTGCATTTAAATTTCTTCTCTGCTACTTACTGCCTATATGATCTTGGGTAAATCATTTAACCTCTCTTTCCTCATCGATGATATAAAATAAATAGGTTGAACTAGATGACCCCCAGAAATGTCATGCAGTTTCTTATCTATGAGCCTACAAATCTCTTTGAGTTTTATTTTCTTATCTGTGAAATGAAGATAATGATATGTATAGAGCTACTTCACAGAGTGGCTCCAAGGTGCAAATGAGACAATTTGTGACAATTGCTTTATTAAAAAACAAAACCAAAACAAAACAAAAAACATCAAAGTCCTATATCAATAGTAGCTGTCATTCTCATGTAAAAGTCTGTTTTTTTAGTATGTTCTAATTGTTTCATGAGTGTAAATCCTTTTCGTCAATAAAACTGAAAGCCCTGATAAAGTAATATCCCCACTTCTGTGTTCAGCTCTTGATAACACACTTTGGGGGAAGCTAAATGTCACAGTGGATAGAGGGCTAGGCTTGGAATCAAGAAGATTCATCTTCATGGGTTCAAATCTGGCCTCAGACACTAGTGGTGTGACCCAAGGCAGGTGATTAACCTATTCGCTTCATTTTCTCATGTAAAATGAGCTGGAGAAGCGAATGGCGAATCACCTCAGTATCTTTGCCAAGAAAACCCCAAAATGGGATCATAAAGAGTCAAACACAATTTAAATGACCCAACAGCAACAGAAAACCATATTTTGAGATGAGGAATGATAAGCTAAGAGAATGACCAGAAGAGGATAGCTAGGTTTATCATGTAATCTTTTTCTTTGTCTTTTATTCTCAAAGAGGACTATGACATCAGGAAGGTGG